ATTTGAGGTTTAAGCGTGACATCATCAGAAGGCTCCAGAACATGTGACTTGTCATGTTTTACAGTTGTTTTTGTCAAAGCAAAGAAAATGTATTTAAGCGAGTTTTGCACATTTTTACAGCACAAAGTCAAAGCAACATAAACATTAAGAAATATCATTTTTAAGACGAGGAGCACCAAAAACATCACAACAGGTTCAAAGTAGTTGATCTTTCTACTTCATGTGAGCTCAAACTTAGAGTATTCTGAAGTTTAGGTTGAAAATGAATCCATGATGGTCAAGTTAGTGTTTGATGTGTAGAATAAATATTCTTCCTACTGGAAATAGTTTTGTAATATCTGGAGACATTTAAAAGATGTGGAAGCGAACGTCACTGTTTTAAGTGCAGAAACGCCTCCACAGGTCAGAGAGCAGGTCGTCTCCAGGGTCACGGACACTTTGAACCACTCTGGGAAAACAGGATGGATGTAAAGCTTTGTGTGGACTGTGACGGTGTCAGAGCAGCTTAAACATCAGTGAACAGCAGCTTTACCAGGAAGACGTCCTGATGCCACAGTGTTGGAAAAGAAGGAGAGCTTTTACTTTAAACTGGCACACGCAGATCAGTCAAACTGGGGTTGTGTTCATTGTTCCTGAGGTTCATGTTAACATACAGGGAAGGATCAACGATGGATGATCATTATACACCAGAGAAACTGTCACCTGTTCAATATACTGAAGATACAAGTCAGCAGACGTCCTGACAGAGAGCCAACAAACACAACAGAATCTGTAAATAAGCAATGAAGCAGTAGATCAGCCTGCAAAGCTGCACAGAGCTGACCCTCTCATCAGCTTCAGACACACAAACACGAAGGATGATGAAGCAGAAACGATGCAAACGCAGTGGGTGGAGGAAAAGGAAGGATGGCGGTGTTACAGGACGGAGGAGAGCAGGAGAGATGAGTCATCAGCACACGGTTCATAACAGGAAACAGGGAAACAGCTGTGAAGAAACATCTGTTTCTCAGTGACGCGCTGCTCCACACTCCACGCCAGCAGATGGCGCTAATGCACCACTTCCATGTTTTCCAGCCACCGGGACAGCTTCCCTGTGACACGAGGCGGAAGTGAAGAGGAAACGCTGCCAGTATTGTTCTTCAGCAGGAAGTCGGAGCTGTGGTCGTCTCTCCGCCGGATCTGTGAGCTGTCGGAGCCGCGATGTCGTCAGTTCGGCACCTGAGAGAGTTTATCACCGAGCGACTGACCGCTGCTGCCGAGGAGATCTTCCTGGAGTTTGAAAAAACGATCGTCCAGTACGAGGAAGTGATCGACCGGCAGCAGAGGCTGCTGAGCATCACCTGGAAACCCGAAACACAGCTTCACAAGACAGGTGAGCCTCAGCCCGACGCAGGGGAGGAGCTTCTGTTCCCACCTGAGCCAATCA